GCTCCTTGGAGGCAAGGATTCTGAGGCTCTGTCTAACATACTTTGGATATGTTGTAAGGAGGGACTGGTCCTTAGAGAGGGACATCATGCTTGGGAGGGTGGAAAGACAGCGCAGGAGGGGAAGCCCTCTATAAGGTGGATTGATTCAGTGATTGGGGCAATTGGGATGGGATCAGAGTTGGTGTGATTGGCACAGGACAGAGTGGAGTTTAGGGCTGTTCTTAGGGTTGCTATGAGTCGCAAGCGACTCGACGGCACATAACAGCAACAACAAGTACCAGGAGATTGGGGGGAAAACCCCACATATTTTTGTTTATCTTCTTATGATGCTTTTTGCATCATTCAGTATTTTTCCTACAGAATCCTTTATTGTTGCAACTCAAGGCTGGAATTTGTTGTTCAGTTTTTGTAGCTTGAATAATGCTGAGTATGTTATTCCCTTTTGATTTTTTTTTTAACTCTGGCTCGTTGTATATTTAATTAAAATACTTTGCTTTATCTTCTTGAGCTCTCTTTGAAATCTTCTGTTCATCTCTCTTCAGCATTTCTGCCCTGTTTCCACTACTTTACATTGTAGTGCAAGCTTAAGAGTTTCTACTTTTGATTTTATTAACCAGTATAATTGATTCACCAAACTCCTCACTGTCAGTGAGGTAATAATGGTTAAAATTAACGTTTAACTATATTTTACTACAATAAAATTATTTTGAAAACAAAGTTAAACTTTAGTACAGACTTGCTTAATTTTCATTTCAAACTTTCCTTAAATATTAATTGAAGCAGATTAAGTTAGATTTCACTTTTATGTCATTTAAAAAGAACCTTGGGTTTTATTTATTCTATGTTTCTAAGATATATCTATGATTTAGTAATAGCTTTTTTGAAATGTAAATATCATATTAAAGATACAAAACTTTTCTTATTAATTAAGTAGAGCATATATTTATCCAAATAACTGATACTTAAGGTTTTTCAATATCCTAAAGTTTGAGTCTAAATTTTCATTTCTTTCAAAGACTAAGGAATTCTGGGAATCTATTCTGACCCTTGGCAGTTACTCATAGCATCACAGTGGAACATTACTGTTTATAACTTGTGACTTTTTTTTAAGTTTTATAAGATCATTTTGATAAAGATGTATATCATAAATCCACCAGATGCTCTGCTGGAGAAGGAGGTGCAATATCCTCCTGTACCAGTCAGATCTGATTTGACGGTACACGCACACAAAATAAAAAAATTTAAAAAAAAATGAAGAAGAGGCTTTTAAAAAAAAATAAAATAAAAAAAGATGTATATCATATTTGGCTATGAGATCAGACTTTTTAAAATTAATTACATGTCATTTGAAGTACAATCTCTTTCCTTGAAAGTTAACTAAAAGCTTTCAAATCCTGAGCCTTTATCATTTTCTGATATATCAAGCTGTCACTTTGACCTCATTTAGCTTTGCAAATTCTGATTTATGAATTGTGGCTAAATTCCTATGTATGGGGACAGTGACAATACTGCAGTTTTTCTACCTGGCAGTCATCAAGTTTCTTTGGTAACTCCCAGCATCAGAAATACTGAACTTTAAAATTTAGATATCTTAGAAAGACATGGTGGTAGTGTTATGTGCTGTTGAGTCAGAACTGTCTCATAGATGAACTTCCAGTGAATTTTCAGAATATAGTATACAGCAATATAGTGCCACACATAAAGTAACTTGGGATCCTGGCCGATTTTCCTTCTGTTTTTTGTATAGTTTTTTTTGTTTGTTTGGTTGGTTTCTTTTTTTTTTCCAGTTTTTTTTTCTATATTTTTTTCATTTCAATGAACATCTACAGAGATTTTGGGATTCCATTCATTCATTGTTGCACCCTTCTCCCTGCACAAACCCCTCCCCCCCCCCTTCCTCCTTCTCCTTGAAAAGCAAAAGAAAAAACGCCTCATTGACACAATCCCCCCCACACACCTCCCCAAACCCCACCCCCTACCCCCAAATATAATCCACTCTGCAACCCTCATTGCATACTCCTACGATAAAAATAATGCCCTAAAATATAATACTTTTAGACTATTCTCTTCCCCCATAGACTTCAATGCCATAAACATATTCTTTTTTTTTTTTAATTGTAACATGACCTGCATTTTAAGGAATTTGTACTGAATCTTAGAAAACTTTAAAATACCATGCCATGAAAACAAAAATTTAACACCAGATATATTTTAGAAAAATAATAAATATCGAGGTTTGGGTCAACTAAAATTAAAGAATGACACTTTATAGTTCTGTTTTGTGCAGAGAGAGAATAATTTACAAGTATTTTTTATAAATTTTAATTATTGTAGTGTAGGGAATTTTAAAAGATGTGGCCCAAGACAGTCTGACAAATACTTCTAGAATGAAAAAAAGAACTTTTTACGTTTATGAGTATGCATTGTAAAGGACTTTAACTTATAATTGATACTATTCATCCTTCAGGTGATTTTAAGGAAGTTTCTGGTATCCTAGAGTTCTAAGAAAAGCAGCTCTCTGGGAGCCTGTTTTTCTCTCTTGGTCCTTGCATAGCTTTCCTATTTCTGGACTTATGAACACTTTAGGGCAGAAATGAGCTTCTAATAATACTGCCATCTTCTTTTTCCCCTACTCATTCCTCAGGTGTACCAACATTCGACCAGGAGAGACTGGAATGGATGTAACAAGCCGATGCACCCTTGGAGACCCCAACAAGCTGCCAGAAGGGGTTCCCCAACCTGCCCGTATGCCCTACATCTCAGACAAGCACCCTCGACAGACCCTGGAAGTAATTAACCTTCTGAGAAAGCACCGGGAGCTATGCGATGTGGTGTTAGTTGTGGGTGCTAAGAAGATATATGCACATCGTGTCATTTTGTCAGCCTGTAGTCCATACTTCAGAGCTATGTTTACAGGAGAATTGGCAGAGAGCCGTCAGACAGAAGTGGTGATACGAGACATAGATGAAAGAGCCATGGAGCTACTGATTGACTTTGCGTATACCTCCCAGATAACTGTGGAAGAGGGCAATGTTCAGACTCTTCTGCCAGCTGCTTGTCTGCTTCAGCTGGCAGAAATACAGGAAGCCTGCTGTGAATTCTTAAAGAGACAATTAGATCCTTCTAACTGCCTTGGCATTCGGGCTTTTGCTGACACACATTCATGTCGTGAGTTGCTAAGGATAGCAGACAAATTTACCCAGCATAACTTTCAAGAGGTAAGTTATACTTGATGGTTTAGTTATATTCATAATATATCTCTCAGGAGCGTTAATTAACATTCAAGTTCTAATTAAAACATACCTACCTAGATATTTACTGCTGACTTCTCAGCTTGTTTTTTTTGGTTTTTTTTTTTTTTGTTCTTGTGGCCAACTTTGGATTCTCCCAGCAAAAGTTAAGGTTTAGGGATTTAATCTCTGGAGTCATATTCATAATAGTCAAATTTATCAGCCAGAATATAGTTGATTAATTCATAATGATATTAGATGGAGGGCTGGTGAAAGGGGGAGAGATGTGAAGGGAGGGGTAGAAGTGGATGGATATCCTGTGGGATGGTGAAGCAGGAAATAAGTGCGTAAAGGTGCATGTGAGAAAGGCAGGGACAACACTGACACTAAAGTTAACTC